TATATATATATACATATATACACACACACATACTGCATTCTAAGATGTTGTTGTGGAGCCGTTGGGGAGAAAGGGGAGAGGAATAGGGTGGCAGGAGGCGGAAGGGGGGAGGGGGCGTGTGGTTGAGGCCCATGGCGCCCCCCTCATTCTGGCCAGGGGACCCCCTGGGGGCTTCTGTAGGCAGCTCCTCGTGGCTGGGCTAGATGCAGACTTCAGGGGGCCATGGCAGAGGCCCTCCACAGCCCTCAACCTGGGAGCCTGGGGCACTTCCAGTGGCAGCTCAGTGGTCCTCACAGGTTTGGATGCAGACATCCGGGGGCGTGGCTGAGACCCTAGGCCCCCCACCACCCTGGCTTCAGAGCCCAGGGCACTTCTGATGGCAGCTCTCTGGGAAAAGTATATCTAGTTCATCTTCCCAAAAGTAAGTCTCTGGAAAAGTCGTTGGTTCAGAGGAAAAAGAAAACAATCATGATATAAAAGCATATCAAAGTTTGAGAAGTTCCTCTATTTAATAACCTCGGCTTTCTTAGTAGAGCAACTACACTACTGATGATAATGATAATGAGGATGATGTTGTTGATGACAATTGCAACTGCCTTGTGTTGAGTGCATTGTGCCAATCATTTAATATCTAGGACAAGGTTGTTCTTTTCATTCTTTGGAGGTGGGTAAATTGATGTTCAGAGGAGTTAAGTATGTTGTTCCAGGTCACTCAACAAATGAATAGCAGAACATGAATCTGAACCAATACTCAAAGAGTCCTTGAGAGACCCTACTACACAGACTCAGTGCCTTAAATACTCACAACACACTGTTTGCAGAAATCCAAAGCTAGGAACAAATAGATTCACTAAACAATTAATTGTGAACCAATACCACTGGCAAAACAAGTAATAGAAAGAAAATTTCTGTTCTACCATAAAACATGTGCTTCATCTGTGAAGCTGCGTGAAAAAACTTCACTAGCATAGGTGATGATATCAGCTGTTCATGTCACAAATTATACAGACGCATCTGATGTTTCTCTGCGAGAGACTTTTGCTTAAAATCATGAGGCTCCAAGAAACTCAGCTAATATTGGGGAGACCTGTTGTTCTTATTGTTTCTTGGGCCCGAGGCATCTGAAACTCACCTGTTTTTGAGTGGACATTTCTGCATATAGGGCGAGGGCTTCATTTCTACTGGCCCACCTGAGCTTACTGCAGAGGTGGCTACAGGGAAGTAGGGAGGGTGAGTCTTCAGAGGTGAGCATGAGTCTGAGCACAGTGGAGGTGGGAGGGGCATAGGTCACTAAAGCAGGGACAGAGGAGGAGGCTGGAAGGGCTGTTCATACTTCTGCTGCTGCTGTTGATAAAAGATTCTTCTCGTGTCTCAGGAAATCTGAGAAGAAAACTTCTATGTATATTATTCACAAAAAGAACTTTACTGTACCTTGAGCAAGTCAAGCCCATCTAATGAACTGGGTTTTCTATATCTTCAATCTCCAGAATGATCTCACACACCAGCATAAGGGACTACAAGGTTTCCCTTCCTTCCTTTTTAGGACCTTATCACCAGTTTGGTTTTCATTAGTAAGACTGTTTCTTTCTCATAATATTTACCATAGGAAATCCATTCATGTCTACAACTAATAAATGTTGCATGGCTGCAAACAACATCCTCAGAAAGGCAGATTTGGTCTTTTTTTGACATTCTGATCAATCCCATAGAAACTTTTTTAAAACATTTTCTCTTTTGAAGCACTCATTAAAAATCCAACTAAGGGGTTGACATAACTTAATACAGAGCCTTTGAAATTCTATGGTAGTTTATGTTTTAAACTTCATAGAGTAGAATAAGGTCTCTCATTCAATTTGTATTCCCTTTTTTGCACTTAGGCCAAAAGAAAGGACATATTTATAGAATGCATGCTTTCTTTAAGCAGCTTACCGCACTAGGAGACTAGCCACTTAGGAAACAAGCTGCATAGCAGCAGTAACTTTGCAAATATAAATGAACGTTGTAAAACTGCAACATTTTTCAAAAGTGGGCTAAGAGTTAAATTTCCCAGTTATAGAAGTTCCTTCCCAGGAGACAGACACGGAGACATCAATGGAATCCTCTGGTGACACCCAGGGAGAGGGCTGCTGCTCTTCTCTGGGATGCTGGCACAGCAGAGGACTTCCCTTTCTTGGTCACCACCTGGAGAGGAGCCTTAGGAAGTAAACCTTTTGCTGTCAGGAATCATCAGAGGCAGATTACAGGCTAAAAGGCAGAGAAGCTTCTTCCGTATCCATGACAGGCTGAGAAGAGAAGATGAAGGCGAAGCTGGGGAACTAGGTGAGCCAATTGACCTTATCCTTTCCTGATCCTGATGAATCCAGAAGCTGTTACTTGCTCTTGGGTGGACACTTCTGCTGGCAGGGTTGAGGAGGTGGCACAGGAGGGCATTTCTGCTGGCTTGGCTGAGGTGGACATGGCTCGGGGCACTTTGGCGGTGGGCATGGCTCAGGGCATTTTGGGGGTGGGCATGGCTCAGGACACTTTGGTGGTGGGCACACAGGAGGTGGCTGGCAGGGCTGCTTGCACTGCTGCTGTTGATAAGACATCGTCTGGAGTCTCAGAATCTGAAAGAAATTATATGACAGTGTTCACCAGAAGGGACTTCTACAGAAAGAGAAGCCAAAGCTTAAGTAATAGCATGGGATATTATTTCTCCAATCTCCAAGAATGCACTTTAATGTCTTAATTCCATTCCTATAACTCTCTGGCTTCTTCCTTCCACTTTAGCAAATTGCTTTATCAGTGCTAAGACAATCCTGTGTGTTCTCACACCATTTTTCTAAAGAAAATATGTCTGCTGTAAAGAACCAAGAAATATTATTTGTATGAAAATAACATCTTCAAGAAAGGTGGTCACAGTTCGGCAATCCTGGGCAATCGCTATAGCAATTCTTGTCATAATCTCTTGTGAGTATCCTAGTAGGCTGACTTGCATACACAGCAAAGGACTGTTCAGGAAGAATTAAGGGTCTCACACCTCCTAAGACATAAGCCTTTGAAAAGGACACCAAGAAGTTAAGGAAAAGAGAAAAATACTTTGTTCTTTTTTCTTCTCCAAATCAAAGCTTTCCTATTATCAAAGCTTTCCTATTCTTTGTCCATATGGATTTCAAACTATCTACCCCTAAACAAAATAAAACAGTATATTATTGTGCCCTGATCCAACATTTCCGTCCACTAAGTATCATCAAATTCATCATCATACATTTATATCTACCAGACTTCTTGCTTTAGATTCAATTCAACATTTGAAAGTACAAAAAAAAAAAAAAAAAAAAAAAAAAAAAAAAAAACCCACATGAACTCAAGAAATCCGACTCACCAAATTCCTCAATGTAGATCAGGACTTGAGGGCTAGGAGTTCAGATGTTGAGCAGCAGAAGACCTCTTTATAGGGCTTGCTGCCCCTCCCAGGGGGAAGTGGCACTGCCTAAATCTGGGCTGGTACAATAGTTTCCTAACCAAAATGCAAATCTATCCATTACTGGTTTCACAGGGACTCTGGAAATAGTAAATATCCTGTTGCAGGATGTTCTTATTGGGATAAGTGCTCATGAGTCACACGGGCCCTACCTTACTTCTCAGTTGCAGTGACCTATGGCAATTGAAGGATTCGGGGGATTTTCCAACTGGGGGCCAATGGTTCTCTTTCTTTATTGGGGATGATGATCCCTTCCTATCTTTCACCTTCATTGAAGCATAAAACTGCCTTCCCTGTTCCACTTCAGCTGATTGCCATACTGTTGTACGTATAGTGTCATCATCAAATGATTCATATAGACTATTACACATGCCGAGTACATCAGAGGGCTAGGTAAAGGGGCTTTACTCAATAGGTCACTTACTACTCCCCATAGCCTTGCATCATGTCTAAATCATGAATCCTTGCAGAAATGTCTGATTTCTGTCATCCAGAATGTGAGAATTAGCTAGCCAAAAGGGGCTACAGCGCGAGATTATGCAGTCTGGGTTCTACTTTGAGACCATCCCTCTGAGAATACCCCACTCAACAAGGCTGCTGATCATGACAGCATAGGCACCAAAGTCACAGCAGCCCTGGCGACCCCAACATTTCACACAGGAGTCGCTTTACAGGTTGAGGTGGTAAATTTGAACACTCAGAGTTCCTCTCAAATCAGCTACATGACGAGCTGACACAAGATGAAGAGTGACACCTCACAATCAAAGTTTCAACAAGTTTGCACATCCAAGACCTGAGACATGGAACACAGCACACACCACACACACACACGCACACACACACACACACCACACGCACACACATACACACGCACACCACACACACACACACACACACCACACACCACACGCACACCACACACACCACACACCACATGCACACCACATGCACACCACACACACACCACACACCACACGCACACCACACACACACACGCACACCACACGCACACACACACACACCACACGCACACCACACACACACCACACACACACCACATGCACACCACACACACACCACACGCACACCACACACACACACACACACACACACACACCACACACACACACACACACACACAATGTGGGTTTTGTCTGTCTGTCTATCTACAAATCATCTATCTGCCTCTCTACTTATCTAAAGAGCTTAGCTTAATGGTCTTTAAGGTCAGAGAGCCCTAGATTCAATCCTATTGCTTTCACTCCCTAATTTTCAAAGGGTTTTCTATAAATACTTGCTACATAGAGAATGATGGGAAAGAACAATAAATTTTAAAATTTATCTAATTCTTGATTCAACATTTTACCTCACATGTTGTTGTTTGTTTGTTTCGGTAGCTGGCTGGTACAGGGATGGAACCCTGGACCTTGGTGTTCTCAGTACCAAGCTCTAACCTACTGAGCAACCAGCCAGCCCTTCACTCACATTTTGTGACTATATGTTATACACCATTAAACAAAACCGTCCCTGCAAATCAAGATTCTACAATAAAATAGAGAAGAAATAAATAAAAGGAAACAGGATTTGCAGTAAAATATTTCTGACATGCTCAGAGAAATGGTAACTGGAAACCCCCTTAGATTTCTGCCTTCTGCTCTTGTTCCTGCATGTAAACCTCACTCTCCATCAACCTTCCATAACCTCGCTGGGTCAGATAATCACTGGATGTACATATGGTGGAATTCTTAAGATCATTAAGGAGAGTATTTTTGAAGATTATTTAGTATTATTATCAAAAATATTCAAATTTTAATAAAAAACATATGTAAAGCAAATATACTTATGATATTTTGATGAAAATATATTCATGAAAAGATAGAAAGTGCCAACAATAATTTGTTAAAAGAAATTATATTTGGCTCACTTAATTATAGATGATTTGGGTTTTTTTTAAATTTTTTGATCAAAATATTATCCAAAGAATATTTAATATTGAGTAGAGAATCTTAAAATTCAACATTGAAAAGGTGACAAGAGACAAGTCTGTTCACTGCTCAATAGGACACAAAATGTTCTTCTTTCCAGACCTTCATTCCTGCACCAGCATTTCTGGCCAGACACTAAAGGTGGGGCTGAAGGTGGGTGGGTATTGTTTTGTAGTCATTTTCCCACATGCCATAACATCCCAGTTATAATCCCTCTTTAAGAAAAATCCCAGTGATAATCCACCTTCTTCCTGGCATTGACATAAATACACAGATGCCACAGGTATCCAATAGTCATATGCAACAATTCAACAAAAAATGGATCATACTCGGGTAAGAAAACAAAATGAGAAGTGGGTTTGTCTACTATCCTTGAGCCAGACAGACAGAAATCCTAAATCAGTCAGATTATGTTAAACAAGGGAGAAATGGATGAGACTAAGAGAGGTGGGAAGGATAATAGAACATTGTGATAGTAACAGTTTCTACCTCTAATTTGTTATAAGAAATAATTTAAATAAAAAACTGCATATAAAACACTTAGCATAGGCTACAAGAAGTACTCAAATAGCAAAGTAATATACTATTAATCAAAGAAATAGAAGCAAAACTTAACTAACAACTATAGTAGAAGTGGAATAAATTTAATAATTGTAAATGTTAAACAATGTTGCAAACAAAATTTATAATTTTCTTTATTTATACATTCTCTGTGTAAAATTCAATTCAATTCAGTGCATTGCCATCCTCCGAAAGAAAAATGGTGAATAAAATAGCTTTAAAATTTAAAAAAGAGAAATAATCAGAGGCAAAATGTCAAGTTCAAGTTGTGTTTGATAGTTGAGCAGGTTATTTGCCTCAACTTTAACAGGAATTACCTTGAAAACGTAGATCTTTTGGGTAGAACTGATATCTGAAAAATATTGTTCTTACAATCCATAAACATGGATGGCTTTCCATTATTTCGGTCTTTAACTTATTTTAAGAATGTTTTTTAGCTTCTAGTTTGCAGGTGTTTCACCACCTTATTTAAATTTATTCTTAGGGCCGGCCCGGTGGCGCACTGGAGAGTGCGCCGCTTGGGAGCGCGGCGGCGCTGCGGCCGAGGGTTCGGATCCCATGTGGAGACCGGTTCCCACTCACTGGCTGAGCAAGGTGCGGGCACAACACCAAGGGTTGCGATCCCATTGCCGGTCAGTAAAAAAAAAAAAAGACAAAAAGGAAAAAAATAAAAATAAAAAATAAATTTATTCTTAAGTATTTTATTTTTTCTGATGTTATTGTAAATGGAATTGTTTTCTTAAATATCTTCTCAGATTGTTCATTGTTGGTGTATAGAAATTCAACTGAGTTTTTAAATTTTAATTGATTTTTATTCTTTGTACATGTTTATGAGGTACAGTGTGTTATTTCAATATGTGCATATATTGTATATGATCCTATCAGAATAGTCAGTATATCAATCACGTAAGCATTTACTGTTTCTTTTTGGTTATAAAATTCAAGATCCTCTTTTTTCTTCAGATATACAATACCACATAATTATTTATTTTCACCGGAGGGCACCAGCTCTTATTCTGCCTGTCTAACTCTCACTTTGTAACTTTGTACCAGTCTCTCAACCTTTCTTCTTCCCCACCCCCCTTTTCCTGCCTGCCTGAGGTAACCACTATTCTATTATTTACCTCTTTTTTCTCTCTTTTAAATTTATCTTTCTTAACTTGCCCATGATAGTTGTATACGTTTATGGAGTACAATATGATATTTGGCTACATTCATACTGTGTGCAGTGATCATATCAGGATGCTTAGTATACTCATCACCTGCACCATTTTTCACTTCTTTATATTAGGAACATTCTATATCATTTTGACGAGCTATTCAAAGATATGCAGTACTTTGTGGTTAACTGTAGTCTCCCCATATTACTACAGAACACTAGATCTCAATATTCCTCTGTCTACTATTGTGTACCCACTGCCCACCATCTCCCCATCCCCCAACCCTTTCCCTCCACCAATCTCTAGAAACCACTCTTCTTATTCTCTACTTCTTAGAGATCAACTCTCTTAGCTTCCACATATGAGAACACCTGGTATTTCTCTGTGTGTCTGGCTTATTTCCCATAACAATTTTCTCCATGCTCAGCCAT